TAAAGAAATTTACCATGAGATATTATTGCATTGCTCATGAATTGTTGAGAAACTTAAACAACAGGCTCCACCCAAAGTCTCTAGAACAATTCCAAGAACTGCACTGCGGATGCAGGCTGTGGAAGGAGCCCCTGCTGCCTAAGGGTCAACATTCAGGCTGCCTGCTACAGAGGAGAGGGCTTTTCCTCTCACTCCTGCCCAGAAGGACTGCAACCCTGCCACCACGCATCAGAGTTCTCTTGTTCTGCAGCCCTCCCTGAGTTGACTGCACTCTTATTTCAGTCTCTCTTAGATTTATCTCTCTTCATGTGTGCAGTGGCTATTCCAACAGCAATACACACATTCATATACTTGAACTCCTACTTCTTAAATCATCAAGAGCGATATGTTACCATCTAATGTTTTGTGCACCTTTCCTTTACAGAAACCAGCACACTCATATCTACCTAAAAAATGAGGAAATTCAAATACTTTCAGTCTAGCACCCTCCTGTATTCATAGGTCACAACTTTAATCTAAAATCTAAATTTCAAAGGGGACCAAAAACAGCATTTTATAAAAATTGAAATTAAATGTGAGTGTAAATATAAAGATTTTTTTAAATGTGTGCATATGTCAAGCCATGTTTGTGGATCTGTTTCCCTAATACTCCTCCACCCTCTAGGTTCCCATAGGGTTTACTATAAGATGAGATCCAGAAAGACTAAACTAAATTTCCAAGCACCCTGATAATTGTGTGAAATTACTGCAGGTGTTGTGTGTGTATGTGTGTATATACACACATATATGTTCATATACTTTTGTTTAGATATGACTATATATGTTTATATAGCAGACAATATCTAAGCATATATGCATGTGTATTATAACATGTATATATACAAATACATACATATGTATCAACATATGTTTCTATTTATAAAATTAGAACTTAATGATTTTAAACAAATCCATGTTATATATGTAAACTCTCATTCTGATTATTCTAAGTATTGCTATATGTGGATAACCTCAGGAACCAATGTTCCTGTAGATGTTTACATAAATGAGATAAATTTTATCCTAC